CTGTACTCAACGAACTATCATGACGGCTCGTACTCTGCGTAACCTCCATAATTACTGAGCCCGTCCTGCACCCTCCTGACCTCTGGCACATCAGTACGTCGGCCGCGATAAAACGAAAGTTTACATTTGTCCCGCGCCTTCACGACGCACGCTAACACCACGTCGTCATCGACGACGGCCCTGACCCTCCTGACCTCGCGACGCTCCTGACCTGCGTAACGTCTTGCAGGTCAGAAAGGTAGAGGAAGCCTCACGGCACGGCTCAACCTGTTCTCGGCCGGAGGCTGGCGCCCCTTGTCGCGATCATGACCGGCATCGCCAGCGGTGTCGCGACAGGCCGTCGTACTGCCCGGGTAAACTCGCGGCCAAGCAGTCACCGTGCCTAGGCAACGCTACTCAAGCTGGCGAGGCCCCGCGCAGTCGTAAGGGTGAGAGCGCAGGAGAAGAGGAGGAGAGGGGGAGGGGAGTTAGGTGGGGAGAGAGAGAGGGAGAGAGACAGAGAGATAGAGACAGAGAGAAAGAGACGGAGAACGAGAGCGAATGATAGAGAGAGAGAGAAACAGAAAACGAGAAACAGCAATCAAAACTAATCAAGTTAATTAAGATGTTATTAATTACGTAATTATCACATATGTCATATAAAATCCGTCATTGTCACTAATCAAAATGACTATTCATTAAAATTACCATTTACTAATTATTTTGTTCCTTATGTTCACCCTAACCCTAACAATGAGCCTAACCCTAACAGTAACACGAAGCCTTACCTGGCTTAAGACTCACCCTAAACCTAACCATAACTGTAAGACTAACCCTAACCTTAACCCTAATGTTTACCCTAACCCTAAATCTAACACTAACCCTGACCATAACCTTAACCCTAACCTTAACACTAACCCCAAATTCGTGAGAAAAAAACTGAAATAAACAACGAAACCGAAAAAAATGCAAATAAACAAAACCGGGAGAAAAAAAATGCAAATAAATAAAAACCGGGAAAAAAATCGTCATGGTAAATAATCTCGCCGTTTCCCGCAGGAGCTGGACGTCGATGCCGTTCTTCAGCCCACAGATGGCGTTAGGGTCACTTGGATTGGCCACGCGACAAGTCTAGTCCAGTTTGACGGGATCAATCTACTAACGGATCCCATGTTCGGGCCGAGTGACGCTACGAGGCGGGTCATGGAGCCACCGCGTTATCGCCTGGACTTTCCCAATCTGTACCGCCTCTTGCATTCGCCCGAAATGAGTACGTGCGTCATCTCGCTACAGCATCTAGGGTTTATAGTAGATCGAAATTTGAATGATATCGTAATTTAACATCATGTGCGCATATTTTTTGTGATAATATAATTGTGATAATAACCTGCATATTCGTAAAATAATCGCAGTAATAACCCGCGCCAGTTATGATGCATTCTCCACGGCTAAAAGTTAATCGATTTTGAAGTGTGGTTCCTTGTCTTCATGCTGTTCCAGTGCTACTAGTGGCTCATTGATTGAGAAACAGAAAAACCAATGCGTATTCCTTGCCTTGATGTTTTCAGAAATCCACGCTGTGTTGATAAGCAACAATAATTATGATGATTTGGATTACATCAGTTTAATATTCCCGGAAGCCTGGTTCGTATATACATTCTGTTAAATGAGCAAACCTCACATGCAGAGCTAAAATGCGTAACGTTTTGGCTCGCAACCTAATTCCCCACGCATTGTGATCCGTGTTCAACACGATCGTTTCCCGTATAAATCGCAAAAATACACACGCTGATAGAGATTCTGTCTCGCCTATTAGCGGACATATACTGACTACTCCGGTGCAAAAATTGCTATAAGTTTGTGATGTTTTACTTATAGGCTATAATGTAATGGGAAAAGGAATAAGGAAACTATCCGTATTCGCTAACTTTCCTTTAGGCACATTTCTTCTCACGCACTGGTTGTTGATCATCGATGGTGAAAGATCGTTAAATTAATTAAATTTAAATTAATAAAGGTCTTTTTTCTCATAGGTGGTTTGTACCTAAAGGATTGGATGGCTGGTTTAAAGGATGTGGTTGCAAAAACACCAAGGAGATGTCCTGGTGGGACGAACAGGCGCTACCGACGCATCCAAATATCAAGATGGCTTTCACACCTGCGCAACACTGGTGCCAAAGTGACGTACAAAATATTAATCAGGTAATTAATTAATTAATCTCTTTATTTTATTTTTTATTTCATAATGAGCTTGACACAAATGCATCGCAAGTGGCATGCAACTCTAAAAACCATGTGTATTGGCCTTTATGAAAAAAAGCGAGTGGATGCAAGTATTTTATGTCAGCATGGGTCTGTGCGAATTCCCAAAACTTGTGATAAACGTACCAAAAAATCCCAAAAATTATTAAATAAAATTATTCTTTCGTGTTAAAATCAGACTCTGCGTTAAGATCATATTCTTCGTCATCTGTACAGGAGATATATATAGTATGCAATAATTTATCATTGCAGTGGTTATTGTTTATGGATCCTGCTATATTTTAGTTTTGAACTTATATTTTGTACTCCTTCATTTTGGCAGAGAATATAAGTAAGCTATGACTGTGTTCATGCATCAATCGTGTATGTTTCTTGGATGTTGCGTGACTAAAAAACAACAAGATTCTCAGCGATAGTAACCAGCCTAAGCAGGAGATTATCCCTTGATCAAAGTTCAAATTTCTAGCCCATAAAGATGTTAGGATTATATGGTGAAGATGTTAGTGTCATCTTCTCGGTTTTCAGTTTTTAGCTCAGCTGACGAAGTCAGATGCAGCTTGTAGAATCGCATGAATGTCCGTCCGTCCGTCCGTGCGTCCGTCCGTCCGTCCGTGCGTCCGTCAACAGTTATGGCACAAATCTTTATTAGAAAGTTCAGAAGATTCATCAAAGATGTTATCTGTTTTTGTTTTGCAGGTACTATGGGGAAGCTGGGCCGTGATTGGTCCAAAACACCGCTTCTTCTTTGCCGGCGATACGGGATACTGTGATGTGTTTAAGTCGATCGGTGAGGAGTATGGTCCGTTTGACGTCGCAACGATACCCATAGGAAATGAACAAGTACGTAGAGGAGGCGGAGGAGGAGGAGGAGGAGGAGGGGGAAGAGGAGGAAGGGAGAAGGTCTACCAGTTCATGAACAAGTATCTAGAGGAGGAAGAGGAGAAGGGGAGGAGGGAGAGGAGGAGAAGAAAGGGGGATGAGGATGAGGAGGCAGACAGGGAGGAGAAGGAAGATGGAGAGAGAGAGAGGAGCAGGAGGACGAGGACGACCTAGCCACAGTTAAGAAACTGTCAAAATGCAGAAGAAAAGGAAACATTCAAAGAAAACAACAAACCGAGACCGAGACCCAAAGTTCTCTTGTTTCAGCTCGGCGGAGGAGCGCAACACGTTCGTGCGATCCATGCGACAATGTCATCAGAGAGAGCTCTTACGCGAGACCGTTCGCCAGATGTCGTCACCAAAGGCGGCGGCGGCGGGGGACGGGCGCGCGACCTCGCCCAACCACAGAGTCGAGGAACTAAGAAATAGTTTCACGAGAAGTCGCAGCAAACGCAAACGTGAGTGGAAGAGGAGGGAGAGAGGGAGGAGGGAGGAGGAGAGGGAGGAAGGGAGGAAGGGAGGAGGGGAGCAGGGAGGATTAGGGGAGGAAGAGAACAAAGGGAGGAGAAGAATGCACGCAGAGAGAGAAGAGAGGGGAGAGCGAGAGAAGGGGAGAGGGAGAGGAAGAGAGAGAGAGAGAGGGGGAGAGAGAGGAAGAGAGGGGAGAGAGATAGAGAGAGAGAGAGAAGAGAGCGAGAGAAAGAGAGAAAAAAAGAAAGAGAGAGTGTAAGAGAGAGCGAGAGAGAGAGAGAGCGAGAAAGAAAGAGAGAGAGAGAGAAGGAGAGAGAGAGAGAGAGAAGGAGAGAGCGAGAGAGAGAGAAAGAGAGAGAGAGAGAGTGAGAGAGAGAGAGAGAGAGCGAGCGAGCGAGAAAGAGAGAGAGAAAGAGAGAGAGAGAGACAGAGAGAGAGAGTGAGCGAGAAAGAGAGAGAGAGAGAGAGAGAGAGAGAGAGAGAGAGCGAGCGAGCGAGAAAGAGAGAGAGAAAGAGAGAGAGAGAGACAGAGAGAGAGAGTGA